ACTAGCATTTAATTTCTTTTTTAAATTTACACTAAAATTCCTTTTTCAAAATTAGTTAAATTAAACTTCTCTTTTTATGTTTTTGTATTTCCTTTTAATATTAATTGTTTTTCAGTATTGGCCATATTTTAGTTTAACCTTTCACTAACGTTTTTTCAGTTTCTCTCCGCAGATTAGAGTCCAATTCATTATTATATATGTATCTGTTTCCTGGTTGTAATTGTGCGAGACAATTGTCGCATTATCTTTTTTTAGTACTTTACATTTCATAACTGTACATTTATTCATTGACCATCGCATTTTACAATTATCATTGACTCTGCCACCCTCCAAAGGAAAGGTTCACATGTTTGACCCCCGTGTCAATGCCTTTACCCTCACCCTAGCCTTAGGATTCGAGTCCCCATACTCACCTTTTAGGCGTCCCGTCGTGGACACACCTTCATCCTTTTCAATTTAACTTTTATTGTAGATAGGAGTCTTCGCACTCCAAGTAAGCGTTTCCATATGAACGCTTATTTCCCTTTGGAACTTTGACTCACAGTCAATAATTCCTCAAACCCTTTAGGGGAACTACAGATACTCTGATTCCATTCCCGTCAGGATATGTAGGCACAAGATGCGACGTCTTGGCGAGTATACTTAGGACTAACCCCTTAGGTCTTTTCTCTTTACCTCTAACCCTTAGCATTACCCTTAAGCAGATAACTTTAGCAATAAGCAAATTAAAACAAGAGGTTCCTGTAGAGTACTACAAAAACTTAGGATGCTAATACCTTCCATAAGTTTAACCAACCCCCGAACCTTAGATCTCTCCCCGCGTTGTGTTTACAATGCAAAATAGGTTTTCCTTCCTTTAACCTTTCCTTTGGATAAATCAAAGACGGTTGCAAATGAATAAGATTCAAACTAATCAATAGTTTGGTATCCAAATTTCACCGTGACACCCATCTACTGTGACTTCATCATCACCAACCACTTCATAGTCTTGAAATCTTGCTGGACGAGCTCTAGTTCTTTGAGGTTTCTGACTTGTGCCATCCATATCCTCTTTGACTTCAACTATGTCGAGAATGTCAACAACTGCGTCGACTTCTTTTTCAACTGAAGTGTCAACAATGTCTTCGACTTCGACATCATTAGTTGCTTCATCAAAATCATAGCTCATCAGTGGCTTGTCAATTGCATTACTAGAATTCCAATCCCAGGTAGAATTTTCATCAATCTCAATGTATCGAATAATCACAATCTTCTGATTAATTGGATTGAAAAGCCTATATGCTCTAGTCTTATGATATCCTACCAGAATCATAAGTTCACTCTTTTCATCAAGCTTCCTTCTCCTGGCATCAGGAATATGCTTGTAGAAAATAGAGCCAAACACCTTCAAATGACTCACTGATGGTCGTTTTCCACTCCACACTTCTTCAAGAACCTTGTTCTTCAACTTTTTGGTGGGGCACCTGTTCAGAATATAAACAGTAGTCGAACTCCCTATTAGGATTTTGGCAAATTCTTTTACTTTAGCATGCATCTCACCATGTTTAATATGATCCTATTTCTTCTTTATGTCATTTCATTATGTTGAGGAGTATAAGGAGTCGTTATCTCATGATCAATACCATGTTCTGCATATAATGCTTCAAATATCCTGGATGTGTATTCACCACCTCCATCTGTTCACAAAACTTTAATTTTCTTTTCACCCTGATTTTTGAAAAGTATCTTGAACCTCTTAAAGATTTCAAATACTTCATCCTTTCGTTTGATCACATAGATTCAGAGCTTTCGATTGTACTCATCGACAAATGACACGAAATACCTATTTCCACCAATGGTATGCTCTTCGAAAGTACCACATACATCTAAATGTACAACTTCGAGTATGCAGAATGATCTCAATGGCATAGTCAAAACAAAAGACTTCCTGGACTACTTTTCGACTAGACAACCTTCACAGAGTTTGCTGGGCATCACAAGACTCGATATACAAGTTTCCATATCTTGAGTGATCAGTTAATTTAGCAACCTAAAGTTCAGATGGCCAAACCTCAGATGCCACAACCAACTATTCTTATGGTCGACAATTATTTTCAGGCACCGTACCTCAGTCGAACTGATCATGGTCTTAAATGTTCTATTCTTTGACAGAGGAGATTTCAAGACCAATTTATTCTGGATGTCAAAAAGTTCTAAGGATCCATCTTTCATAACCACTGAGAACCCTTTTTTGATCAGTTGTCCAACACTTAGTAGATTGAACTTCATTCCAGGGACATAAAGTACATCTTTGATCAAGGCTTTTGCTCTAGTACTCATTTGAATATCTATGTTACCAGTACCTTCTGTTGGAAACAAGCTATCATCAACAAATTTCACCTTACTCTTCTTCGAATCGTCAAAATCTACTAACCATGCTTTTTTTACCAATCATGTGATTCGAAAAGTCTGAGTCGAGGAACCAGATCTTGGATTTGACATGGTCATCTGCAACTGCAGCCATAACCACTATATCATCATAATTATCTAAATTTAGACATACAAGATTCGCTCATCCGTCCTTGCCTTTTGTTGAACCCATGTCTTTCCCGTATCAACAATGCTTGGTCAAGTGACCATACTTTTCACAGTTATAGCACTGCACACCTCTTTTCTCTACTTTGTCTTTCTGATAGGAATTTCCTTCTCCTCTTTTCAAGGATTCATAATTTCTATCATCGATCTTATTCTTGTGAAGATTCGACCAAGACTTCTTGCCCTAAGTCTTGTCGATTTTGCCTTTGAACTTATTGGAACCACCATTCTTCTTCCACGATTGCACCTGTAGTACTTGTATTGAGTCTTGTACTCCTTTCCTTTCGACAATCCTAATCTCATACACTTCCAACGAACCAACTAAATCTTCCAGTTTTAGGGTTTCAAGATTGTTGGATTCTTGAATAGCTACGATAGCATGACCAAAGTGAGAGGTCAAAGTATGCATTACTTTCTCAACTATCATCTTATCAGTTAGGGTTTCACCATAACCCTTAATGAGATGGACGAGTTTCTGAATCTTCGACATATAGCCTTCAATCTTTTCATCTTCTCCCATTGATAATAATTCATATTGTCATCGCAAAGTTTGCAACTTGACAACCTTAACTTTCTCGCCTCCTTCATTGTACTTAACAAGAATATCCCACACCTCATTCGTTGATTCAGCATAAGCGATTATATCGAAATTAGCCGCATCAACCATTGATTGGATGTAGAACGCCGCTTTGCAATCCTTCTTCTTGACATCCTTGTGAGCGGTTCTCTGTGCTTCCGTTGCACCCTAACGAAGCATATGAACGCCATTTGTAACCACTTATAGGGTTTCATGAAAGGAAAATAGAGATTGCATCTGTTTTCTTCATCGAAGCCAATTCTTGCCAACAAGAATTGGAAGGGAGTTTGGTAAATTTATGTTACCATTAATCTTTGTAGCGATTGATCAACAATAACCCACGATCCCAGAAACACGATCTCTAACGTGTGATTTTTGAAAACACGATCAAGAATAACCACTATTATATGAGATTTTCACTAGGGAGCATTGAACACTGTGAGACTTCTTTTCTAGAGCAACACCTTTGTGAAAGACACACCATATATTCTCCTAAAACTTTAAGGTAATAAGTGTATGATTTCTCCCACTTATAAATGCTCAAGTCACTACATTCATATCCAATGTAGGACTATTACCCATACTACTCACACTTGTTATACTTAACACTCCCCCTAAAGTGTGAGTATATCCACAATGCTCCCCCTTAAGAGGAAGCTCTTTTCATCCACATACACTTGTACCGCCGTTAACATTTTTCAACAGGACACTCAACCCACCGCTTATGAGGATACTTTCAATACAAGTGAGTCGGTCCTTCACTCGAACCAGACTCTGATACCAATTTGTTAGCGCGTGAGGCACTTTTAGTGAGAAGAGAAAGAGAGAGAATAAGGAAATAAAGATTTATTGAATGAATTGTTGTAAATAATGATACATACTATGACTATTTATATACAACCTTAGTTGGGCTTGGGATAACACAACTTGGATTATATTTAAATGTTAAATCTAATCAAACCAGATCTAATATAATATTTCAACAGACAATTTCACAAAATCGACTTGAGTTCTTTGGTTCATATAGTTTTGAACAATTCAATTGGATTTTTCGTGTTTTATGCACGATTTGGCAACGAACAACTTTACAAGACTGAACAAACTAAACTCAACTCTGATTTCTAATCCAACAAATTATCCTGACATGCAAAGTCTGATTTTTAAAATATTAATTAAAATATATATGAAAGAAGTAGATTTTAATAGTTTTTTTAATTTATCTTTGTGTGACATTCTATTTGTTCCTTTTTAAAGATTAAAATTATAGTTATTATTAAAAAAAAACTAAATTAAATATAAATATGATAAAAAAACATAAAAATGTTTTTTCGCAAATAAATAATAGCATAAAATAAAATAAAACAAATTATTATTATAAGTTATTATTATGCAACATTGTTAAATTTCTTGAAGAATAGTTTTGTTATCTATTGTAATTCTTTTCAACTATAGAAATTAGTCATTTCAATTCCGCGTAAAGAATATAAGATTTTAAAAATAAAATAAAAAAAACAACCAAATTAATTTTTATATTAGATATATTTAAAACCAAAATCAATAAATGCATTCAAAAACCAAAATAAATAAATGATTCCATCCATTTAATACCGCCCAATGTTAGGCATTGATGAGACAATTTAACCGAAATGGAAGGGTGCCCCATGCCATCCTCACATGCCCCACACGGTGATCACTGACTTGTGCTTCCTTTCACAATTTTATGTTGAATCTAAACCTCTAGGAATCAACGTCAACAATAACCCCCTATATAACCAAATAATCAATAACTTGGTAACACCATCACAAATTTGAACTTAAACTATTTGAGAGAAACAAAAGATTAACCACCATGGCAAACAAGTACCATGTTCGTTCAATTAGTCTGCCTTCTAGATCTCATCCTAGCACCATTAGAGTAACTGAGGAATTGAACAAGCTCAAGGCTTGGGAAATAACATCCACATCCACATCCACATCAGCCTCTACTCTTATTGCTCTTTCCATACTTGAAGATTTGTATATTTCATTGGAACATCTTCTCAACATGCCGTCAACTCAACAGCTGATTTCTCATCATAGAGGTGAGAAATTCATTCAAGAGGTGCTAGACAGTTCTATGAGAATTCTGGATGTATGTGGCATCACAAGGGACACCGTGTTGCAAATCAAGGAAAATGTTCAAGCCCTTCATTCTTCTCTTAGAAGAAGAAAAGGAGATTCAAGTGTTGAAACAAGTGTGGCAGAATACAAATTCTTCACAAAAAAGATGAAGAAAAATGTCAACAAGTTGATCACATCTTTGAAGCACATGGATACAAAACTTGGGCTGTCCCCAAATTTGGAACTTGATCATCATCTTTCTTCTTTCTTCTGTTATTAGAGTGCTTAGGGAAGTTATTACAATGAATTTGTCTGTTTTTCAATTCATTTTGTCATTTTTGACTGTTTCTTCATCAAAGTCAAAGGCTACCAAATGGTTGCTGGTTTCAAAATTGATTCATAAGGGTGTTATAACATGTGAAGACAACTCAGAGATTGCCAATGAGTTGCAGTGTGTGGAAGCTTCTTTAAGCAGCCTTATAAGTGAAGCCAACAATGGTGAAAAGTTGCAGGCTGCACATGAAAGATTAGAGGCTCTGGAGAATGCAATTGAAAGCGTTGAGATTGGTTTGGAAAACTTATTTAGACGCTTGATTAAAACTAGATCTTCCCTTTTGAACATAACCTCTCAATAA